CACACATACTGGGAATGACAAAAATGAAGGTCGTTACCGTGTTATGGATGTCTTTTCAAATTGACAACAGAATCATATCGAATTTATTCTTTTATCTGGTAAATATTTCGCGAACGACAAATTTAGTTCGCATTTTAAAAACAAGCAATATATATACCGTATATGTTTATTCAATGTTCGAGATTCTGTGGTCCTTGAGCAACCCGGAATGTCAACTGGTTTGCAATCAAAAATATCTTCTCTCTCTTTTTGATAATACAACATCAAGATGGTGCACTATTGTGCAGTCATTTTGTTACAGACAATAGTGCCCGGTAAATAACTCTGTTTAAGCGAATATATATTTTCGGTACGATCCATTTCATCGATATATTTGCGAGTTTTTGCTACCGCGGCAGAAATATTAACATTTTTATTTCCCTTTCATTGCTGTCTGGTTAATATTAATGACACAATGTACATTTAAATTCTCGATCAATCCTATCTACGAATCAGCACAAGAATATAAATGTCGTGAGATATACATGATTGGCAGTATTTAGGCCGATGTCCAATATTTCACTATAACTTCATACTGTTCAATTTTACAACACATTTCAATTGCAAATAACATAAATGAAAAATAAAGCAAGATGTGACGAGATTTTATTGTATATGGCCATGCTGATAGTATATGTACGGATATCGCATTTACATAAAGTGGCAAAATTTATAACGCGATTTAAAAAAAAAGGTAAGTTATGGGGTACAACGTTGTTGTAATTGGATAGAATCCTAAAAGTTGACATAGCATAAATAGTGTAATACTGTATGTACAAAGGAACCTGGCTAGTCCGGCAATTTTGGTCTCAGTGTACAGCGTAAGCTCCATATTCCGAAAATACTATTGTAAGAAAACGTGACAACTTTGTTGTTCCGATTTTTTTTAATTTCTCTGTACAATATCCCTTCGTTAGTCCGGATATGTTAATTTCTGTGTACATAATAACCTTGCTATTCCGGACACTTTAATTTCTGCGTACATAATAACACACTTTAATTTCTGTGTACATAATAACCTTGCTATTCCGGACACTTTAATTTCTGTGTACCTAATAACACACTTTGATTTCTGTGTACATAATAACACACTTTAATTTCTGTGTACATAATAACACACTTTAATTTCTGTGTACATAATAACACACTTTAATTTCTGTGTAAATAATAACCTTGCTATTCCGGACACTTTAATTTCTGTGTACACAATAACCTTGCTATTCCGGACACTTTAATTTCTGTGTACATAATAACACATTTTAATTTCTGTGTAAATAATACCCTTGCTATTCCGGACACTTTAATTTGTGTGTACACAATAACCTTGCTTTTCCGGACCCTTTAATTTCTGTGTGCATAATAACATTGCTATTCCAGGGACTTTAATTTCTGTGTACATAATAACTTTGCAATTCCGGACACTTTAATTTCTGTGTACACAATAACCTTGCTATTCCGGACACTTTAATTTCTGTGTACATAATAACTTTGCAATTCCGGACACTTTAATTTCTGTGTACATAATAACCTAGCTATTCCGGACACTTTAATTTCTGTGTACATAATAACACACTTTAAATTCTGTGTACATAATAACTTTGCTATTCCGGACACTTTAATTTCTGTGTACATAATAACCTTGCTATTCGGGACACTTTAATTTCTGTGTACATAATAACCTTGCTATTCCGGACACTTTAATTTCTGTGTACATAATAACCTTGCTATTCGGGACACTTTAATTTCTGTGTACATAATAACCTTGCTATTCTGGACACTTTAATTTCTGTGTACATAATAACCTTGCTATTCGGGAAACTTTAATTTCTGTGTGCATAATAACCTTGCTATTCCGGACACTTTAATTTCTGTGTACAGCATCACCTTGCTAGTCCGGACATCGTAATTTCATGTACAGCTTAACCTTGCTAGTCCGGACACTTTAACTAACTCTTTACAGTAGCATCGTTTATCTGAAAATATTAACTCCTGGGAACAGGACAAGATAGTTACTGCGAACACTTTGATTCCGTTTATCAAAGTCACCTCGATAGACCGGATACTGATCCATTTGGACATGTACATTCAGGTATTTACGTTTGTGTGTACAGTTATACAACTGTAATCATATTGGGTTTTTTTTTGTGCAGAGCTGAACCTCTTTATACAAATAAACAAGATCAGCGATACAATATACCAGGCTATTATCACCACTGATAATACTCGTCTTTATTACTAGTAGACTCGGTAATAAACTGGAAGAAGGATTAATTCAAGTGAACGTTCATTCTTCATCGGCTCTGCATGTTGACTTTACCATCTGAATAATCTTTATCATACCAACTTCCAAGGGAGTCGTTTATACAATTACCCGAGCATTCGTTCTAATGTTGTTATTGTAGCATTATCGATTCATAAAAGGGATGAGGGAAGGACTCGATTATCTCTCTTACCGTGTTTTATTTTTATAATGTTAGACATGCAATGATGAAGCGTGGCTTGGAATATGTTTCTGATGTTATTACATTGTATTATTAATAAGTTAGGGACAAGAAATAAACATTGAACAGAATGAAGCATCAGTAATACACTGAAGCGCATGCGTAGAACTATCGCTAAATGATTTCCCATTCATCACCCCAACATCCGGAACCGGAATTCATAATCGTTTCCATACGAAGGTAATGTTTCTTTTATGTTAGTCTTATTATGATCTGTTTCATTGCTGTTTAGAAATCAACTCTGATCTGAAATTCTTATCCGGAAATTAGTGTCATTAAAACGCTAAAAGAATTCTTTAGAACCGGAAGTTGTTTGGTATCGAAACAAACTTTCATAATCGAAATATTAAACGGTATCATTATATTACGGAAACCAAATAGTTGTTTTGGCGTGTATTAACCGTATCTATAGACAGACGTTTACTTGATTTTCTATTGACACATATGCTATTGACGGATTCAGTGCGTGGGCTGGTCCTATGGTGGAAACACTGACCTTAAGGCATGATCGGTTAGGTTTCGATTCCCGGGAAATGTGTGTGATATTGCTAGGCCCGTAAACAAAAGAGTCTACTGGTTTTGAGTGCGGGTACAAGATAGTTCCGTGGAGACTTGATATTAGAGTAGATACCGACCTCTGCTTCAGAAGATACATCACGAACTAAATCTAAATAACTACAAATAATGATAAATTACTGGAGGTTAATTAATAAAAAGATAAATGAAATAATATTTATTTATTTAAATTATGATAAATTACTGTAGTTTGTTGAATTTAAAGCTACTTGATTGTTTCACAAATTTGAAGTTTTTTCCCTGTTTTGATGGTATGTACTATGAAACAGAAAGAATATCCGTAAGACACTAAAAAAATAAACTGTACTTAAGGATCCCTATCCCTTTGCACTATGGTTTTACTATCTTAAGTCTAGTGTTAGAATCCAGGCCCCAGGATTGTGAAACGATCTTAAGTCTAAAACTGTCTTAAGTTTTTGACTTAGCCAATAACAAATAATGTCATGAAAAGTGACGTCATACGTGATTGGCTAAGTAAAAACTGAGGTCTACGATTGTTGATTGTTTCATGATCACGGGGCCTGGCCCGCTATTTGTATTACACTCAGAGCACTGTTGTTGATTATATTATGTTTATTTCATTTCTATTATTTTTCATAAATGTCCAGAAAGGTGTGGTATTCTTTACAGAAACGATTTATTAACGTTATAGTCATGCCGGCAAATTCGCTCTTCAGTGCATCGTTACAGTTTTTGGCAGTGGTAGGGGGACCCTTATCACATCTCAAGTACACACACAGGCAAACACACATATGGAGATATTAGCCAGGTGACATAGGTCTAGTAGTTAGAGCCGGATAAGGCCGCTCCTGCAAATTCCTCAAAATTGTATTGATTATTGTATATGCTAATTGTATTAATTGTATATCTGTTTACTGTGAAACGCTTTAGAGTGGCTTATGTTAGGTACTGTATGTCAAATGTTGTATACCATTATTATTAATATAAACAAAAGTTAAACATAAGTCGCTCTGGAATGAACATTATTGTTTCGGTCTGGGGCTCAATAGACCAAAAAATGGGAATCAGCAGGAAGTATATTCAAAAGTCCTTATCTCTCAGCTAATCTAAATGGAATACAGACTCAGCACTATTGCTGATACATGTAATTGATTACGTAACCGTTATTTTGAAATTGCCATACAACATATAATTTATGATAAATAATTCATAAATATTGTATTGGGAATATATAAAACGCTGAAATACTAACTATATCTCAATAGATATGATTCATTTTTGTAAATGATAAAATTGTTTTCTAGTCCTGTGATTATACCAGTTACAATCCAAAGCCTGTCTAAAAAAGATAAAACAAAAAAAGTATGCTNCCCCCCAACACAAACACATACCACAACAAAATTGAAGTTACTGATATTCGTAAGTAATAATAATAAAATACAAAATTGACCGAAAATAAATTGAACAGCCATCTTATTATTAATTGTTCATAAAATACAAAATTGACCGAAAATAAATTGAACCGCCATCTTATTACTCTCACACATTATCAATTTACACTGACACATAATTCCAGAAACGAATCTTATCAAAAATGGCGAAGAGAAACTGACACGAAACTACACCGAAGTAATGGAGAATACAACATTTACCTGCTGGGTCCCGACCCTGACAGTACCCATTGACCACTCTTAGTGCCACCTCAGCCAACCAGCCTCCTTGACCTCGGAGAATAATTTATTGGGAACAGATGCTTATTTATCGTTGACAACTTTGCGTTCATCTTATCTTTTTTTCTCTCTATTCCAATCAAAGACTAATACTTACTTAAATATACGTCTTCACTACTTAGTGCCTACCAATGCTATTTTAACCGAAAGCACAAACTAGAAAACTTGTTGCGTGTTAAAAAAACATTCTTACCTTCTATGGCGCCAGTTTATTCGTATAACTCTGGAGTTCTGACTTTTTAGTAAAAGTGTATTGTCGTAGAATAATTAGAACTCTCTGGAACATAGACGGATCTTTGAGGAGATAATCCGGCAGAGAGGTGTTTTCCCTAAACTACACGCAGCACAATATAACACTAATCCATGCGTCCTGTAAGAAGAGCTGTACACCTCTCGACGTTCACATATCTCAACCGAGAACGAAACTTCCTGACTTCCCTCCCTCAGTACGGAATAAGTCGGGAACAACGTGTTTCTCCGAGTACTCTTAACAGCCTGGCCGATCTTGCTGCAATGCTGAGCTTGACACACACATACACCTGGAATTTGTTATACTCAGACTCCGAGCGCGGAGCAGGAAGTCGGGATCGATAGGAGGGAAAGTCCCCCGAGACACTGGCATACTTAACGCCGGAAAAAACAGTCCAACTGGAAACGAGAGCGACTCAGTAGCTTATGACTAATGTTACATATATACTAATAGATATATACATTGTCTATACCGATAATTCGATTATTTACAGGTCATTATTGATTAGGTCAGGTAAACAGTTGGAGTGTTTATTGGTTTTTATAGCTGTTGTCTCACCTTTTCTGTGAGACAATGTATGAATATTTCAGAGTATTGTCTTTCCGCGCTATTCATCACCGAGGCAAACTTGTTGCGTTACGTGGTTATCGATTACATTTGCCTGTGAATTCTAACTTGATTGATGCATTTAAATGAAATTATCGTAAATTATTTTATGAAGCCATTAACTGGGAGATATATGCTGGAATGATATGACAGTGTGTCAATAAAATATTGCATTACAATGAGGGAGATTGTAAGTATTGAGCGAGTGAAATTCAATAACCACAGTGACCAGTCGGCTCCCCGACTCCCTCGGATCCCATCCAACTTTATTCCAAACCCCAAACAACTCCGCCTTCAAACCCTGACATAAAGCTATAATCACAATTACAAAAGTCTTCAAAAAAAATCATCGCTCGATGTCTGCAACATTCTTTTGCCAAGGTCACACAGTTTTTGGCTAAATGCCAGGTATCTAGCTAACTGATCATGACCAGACGTTCGTCAGCAATTAGTGAGCATTGTCCTTAACATGCAGTAAGTAAAGGTTATTGCATGGTTTTCGAGTAACAAGGGATTTATTACACCCGAGCGAAGCGAGGGAGTAATAAGTCCCGAGCGACGAGAAATCATGCAATAACTGGCTTATGACCTATGAACCTGTCATCAGTGTCGTGTACTGCCCTGACCTATGAACCTGTCATCAGTGTCGTGTACTGCCCTGACCTATGAACCTTTTATCAGTGTCGTGTACTTTTCTGACATGTGAACCAGTTATCAGTGTCGTATACTGCCCTGAGCTATGAACTTGTTATCGGTGTTGTATATTATCCTGCCCTATGAACCTGTCATCAATATCGTGTATTGCCCTGCCCTATGAACCTGTCATCAGTATCAGGTAATGCCCTGACCTGTGAACCTGTCATCAGTGTCGTGTTCTGCCCTTACCTATGAATCCGTCATCGTGGTCGTGTACTGTCCTGACCTATGAACCTGTCATCAGTGTCGTGAACCGTGTACTGTCCTGACATTTAACCTGTCATCAGTGTCTTTTACAGACCTGATCAATGAACCAGTCCTCATTTTCGTGTACCATGTAATGTCCTGGCCTATGAACAACTCATCAATGTCGTGTACTCCCTGACCTATGAACTTGTCATCAGTGTCGTGTACTTCTTTGACCTATGCACCTGTCATCAGTGTCGTGTACTTCCCTGACCTATGAACTTGTCATTAATATCGTGTACTCTCCTGACCTATGAACCTGTCATCAGTGTCGGGTACTTCCTTGACCTTTGAACCCGTCATCAGGGTCGAATACAGTCCTGACCTATGAGTCTGTCATCAGTGTCGTATATTTCCCTGACCTGTGAACCTGTCATAAATATCGTGTACTCTCCTGACCTATGAACCTGTCATCAGTGTCTTGTACTATCCTGACCTATGAACCTGTCAGCAGTGTCGTGTACAGCCCTGACCTATGAACCTGCCATCAGTATCGTGTACAGCCCTGACCTATGAACCTGTCATCAGTATCGTGTATTGTCCTGACCTGTGAACCTGTCATCAGTATCGTGTGTTGTCCTGAGCTATGAACCTGTCATCAGTGTCTTGTACTATCCTGACCTATCAACCTGTCATCAGTATCGTGTACAGCCCTGACCTATGAACCTTCCATCAGTATCGTGTACAGCCCTGACCTATGAACCTATCATCAGTATCGTGTATTGTCCTGACCTGTGAACCTGTCATCAGTATCGTGTATTGTCCTGACCTGTGAACCTGTCATCAGTGTCTTGTACTATCCTCACCTATCAACCTGTCATCAGTATCGTGTACTGTCCTGACCTATGAACCTGTCATCAGTGTCGTGTACTTCCCTGACCTGTGAACCTGTCATCAGTGTCGTGTACTTCCCTGACCTATGAGTCTGTCATCAGTGTCGTGTACTTCCCTGACCTATGAACCTGTCATCAGTATCGTGTACTGTCCTGACCTATGAAGCTGTCATCAGTGTCGTGTACAGCCCTGACCTATGAACCTGTCATCAGTATCGTGTACAGCTCTGAACTATGAGTCTGTCATCATTGTCGTGTACTTTCCTGGCCTATGAACCTGTCATCAGTGTCTTGTACTATCCTGACCTATGAACCTGTCATCAGTGTCTTGTACAGCCCTGATCTATGAACCTGTCATCAGTGTCGTGTACAGTCCTGACCTGTGAACCTGTCATCAGTATCGTGTACTGTTCTGACCTATGAACCTGTCATCAGTATCTTGTACAGCTCTGAACTATGAGTCTGTCATCATTGTCGTGTGTTTTCCTGTCCTATGAACCTGTCATCAGTGTCTTGTACTATCCTGCCCTATCAACCTGTCATCAGTATCGTGTACTCTCCTGACCTATGAACCTGTCATCAGTGTCGCGTACAGTCCCGACCTATGAACCTGTCATCAGTGTCGCGTACTGTCCTGACCTATGAATCTGTCATCAGTGTCGCGTACAGTCCTGTCCTATGAACCTGTCATCAGTGTCGCGTACTGTCCTGACCTATGAATCTGTCATCAGTGTCGCGTACAGTCCTGCCCTATGAACCTGTCATCAGTGTCGTGTACTGCCCTGGCCTATGAACCTGTCATCAGTGTCTTGTACTATCCTGACCTCTAAACCTGTCATCAGTATCGTGTACTGTCCTGACCTATGAACCGGTCCTCAGTGTCGTGTACTGTCCTGACCTATGAACCCGTCATCAGTGTCGCGTACAGTCCTGACCTGTGAACCTGTCATCAGTATCGTGTACTGTTCTGACCTATCAACCTGTCATCAGTATCGTGTACTGTCCTGACCTATACCCCCGCCATCAGTATCGTGTACTCTCCTGACCTATGAACCTGTCATCAGTATCGTGTACTGTTCTGACCTATGAACCTGTCATCAGTATCGTGTACTGTTCTGACCTATGAACCTGTCATCAGTATCGTGTACTGTCCTGACCTATACCCCTGCCATCAGTATCGTGTACTCTCCTGACCTATGAACCTGTCATCAGTGTCTTGTACAGCCCTGACCTATGAACCTGTCATCAGTGTCGTGTACAGTCCTGACCTATGAACCTGTCATCAGTATCGTGTACTGTCCTGACCTATGAACCTGTCATCAGTGTCTTGTACAGCCCTGACCTATGAACCTGTCATCAGTGTCGTGTACTGTCCTGACCTTTGAACCTGTCATCAGTCTCGTGTAAAGCCCTGACTTATGAACCTGTCATCAGTATCCTGTACTGTCCTGACCTATGAACCTGCCATAAGTATCGTGTATTCTCCTGACCTATGAACCTGTCATCAGTGTCGTGTACTGACCTGACCTATGAACCTGTCATCAGTGTCGTGTACTGTCCTGGCCTTTGAACCTGTCATCAGTCTCGTGTAAAGCCCTGACTTATGAACCTGTCATCAGTATCCTGTACTGTCCTGACCTATGACCCTGCCATAAGTATCGTGTATTCTCCTGACCTATGAACCTGTCATCAGTGTCGTGTACAGCCCTGACCTATGAACCTGTTATCAGTGTCATTTACAGTCCTGACCTATGAACCTGTCATCAGTGTCGTGTACTGTCCTGGCCTTTGAACCTGTCATCAGTCTCGTGTAAAGCCCTGACCTATGAACCTGTCATCAGTATCGTTTACTGTCCTGACCTATGGACCTGTCATCAGTGTCGTCTATTGTCCTGACCTATGAATCTGTCATCAGTGTTGTGTACAACCCTGACCTGTGAACCTGTTATCAGAACCTGTCATCAGTATCGTGTACTGTCCTGACCTATGAACCTGTCATCAGTGTCTTATACTATCCTGACCTTTCAACCTGTCATCAGTATCGTGTACTGTCCTGACCTATAAACCTGTCATCAGTGTCGTGTACAGCCCTAACCTATGAACCTGTGATCAGTATCGTGTACTGTCCTGACATATGAACCTGTCATCAGTGTCGTGTACAGCCCTGACCTATGAACCTGTCATCAGTATCGAATACTGTCCTGATCTATGGACCTGTCATCAGTGTCGTCTATTGTCCTGACCTATGAATCTGTCATTTGTGCCGTGTACAACCCTGACCTGTGAACCTGTCATCAGTGCCGTGTACTATCCTGACCAATGAACCTGTCATCAGTGTAGTGTACTTTTTTTGACCCATGAATCTGTCATCAGTGTCGTCTACTTTGTACAACCCTGACCTATGAATATGTCACCAGTGTCGTTTACAACCCTGACCTATGAACCTGTCATCAGTGTTGTGTACAGCCCTGACCTATGAACCTGTTATCAGTGTCGTGTACAGCCCTGTCCTATGAACCTGTCCTCAGTGTCGTGTACTGTCCTGACCTATGAACCTGCCATCAGTATCGTGTACTCCCCTGACCTATGAACCTGTCATCAGTGTTGTGTACAGCCCTGACCTATGAACCTGTTATCAGTGTCGTGTACAGCCCTGACCTATGAACCTGTCCTCAGTGTCGTGTACTGTCCTGACCTATGAACCTGTCATCAGTGTCGTGTACAGTCCTGATCTATGAACCTGTCATCAGTATCATGTACTGTCCTGACTTATGAACCTTTTATCAGTGTCGTGTACTTTTCTGACATGTGAACCTGTCATCAGTGTCGTGTACTTCCCTGACCTATGAGTCTGTCATCAGTGTGGTGTACTGCCCTGACCTATGAACCTTTTATCAGTGTCGTGTACTGTTCTGACATGTGAACCTGTCATCAGTGTCATGTACTTCCCTGACCT